ACAGAGTTTTGCTATAGAAAAATATTGATTTTTAAGAATTCTATACTATTTCTACGAAAAGTTGTTTTTCCCCAATATAAAATACATGGACAACTTTGGGCGCTTTGAGCGACCTCTAAATAGGGGTATATTTTATTTCGGTATAAAACAATCCTAGGGGAGAGCATACAAATTTCTACTTTACTTTTTCATCTGCATTTTTGGACCACCCGAATGTATATACATACATATTCACATACATACAAATATTTGGTTCGGGTTCGGCGCGCAATTTCGCGTGGAATCCCTTTTTTCAAAGACTTTTACTTATTGCAAATTTAATATTATTGATTTGACTCGATATGTTCTTTTTTCAATTTGTATGTTATCAGCGTTTTAAGTTTCATTTTGCCAAGATTTTTCCATGACCATTGTACGCAAAAACCGCTGCTTATTTATGCAGGAGTATGAGTGGCGAGTAAACATTTTGCACTCTTTTTATGGCTGCTAGCTTTATCATCATTTTCTCAAACGCAAAAACATTTCCAACTTATACAATACATATACATATTTTTGCACTATGTACTTAAATTAATGAAAAATAATAATTGCTGTCTGAGATTTTAAATTGCCGCCGTTATCAAGTCGTGATTCTACAATAATTGCCGCATTTCAAATCTGCTAAAAGACCACTACCAAATAATCCAAAGAGTTGGTTGTACCTAAAAATCACTTCAAGGTTGCATGAAAGTCAAGGTTGTTTTGGCGCTTTTTCCGGAAACCGTTTGTGATGCATTTAAAATTTCTTCTCGAGAACTGAACTATGTTTAAGGAACATTATGTGGACATAAGTTGAGTTAAATGTTCGACTTTACTTAACTCATTTTAGAAATTCATAACGAAAATATATTTTAAAGTTCATCAATTAAAAGGTCAAATTTTTTAAGCTATTCAACAAAACAAATATTTATTTTGATTACTAAAAAAAAATCGAGAATGATTTATGTATGTATTTAATTTAAACGGAAAATCACATTACACCTTACAGGGTGAGTTCCTCATTACTCACTTTCACGCTATTCTAAATCCCCGATTAAAAACTCTTTCAAATGCTTAACTCATCTTTATTTATTTATTTCGCCCGGACTCGTTTTGGGTTATATTTACTAACAATTCTGAGGCTTTGATTCACCGGGTATCAGATACGACTTTTCTTAACTCGGAGAAAATGTTCTATTGTCTCTCTCCTTTGTGCCAATTATTTCCACCAAATGTAACCAAGGCCTTATGCACTTGGTTCTTTCATTGTATGCGACAGCGACTTTGTTTTCGTTGTTCTCTCATGTTTACCCCGTGTGGCAGGATCTTTTCAGGGAAGTATCATCCATATGAACATCATGGCCACGACACCGAAATTATTGTATTTTTATGTCTTTGGCTATGTCATTGTCAAAAAACAGTGTCATTGATTTTGGGTAGAACAGTTTCTACAACCTCGAAGATAGGGCTTCTCCTAACACGGGAAGTGTATATGTGTAAATGTATAATGTGCAAATATTTCTTCTTGTAGACCTAATCTTCTGGCATATATGTATTTACCATGCGCCCTACCATCTCTTAAACACCAATTAAAAAAAATAACTTCAAAAGCTCGTCTTGAAGGGTGAGGCGACGCATCCTCCCTAACGATTAATCTCGATTCATCTTTACCAAATAACTTAATGAGGTTTTAAGATCATACGACTCGTGTTATATTTTCGGATGCAATTAAGAGTTCCATAAAAATTAAATATATTTTTTCCCAAATTCCAAAGTATGGATCCACATAAAAGAAAGCTTTTTTCCTTTCATAGGTGTAATTTTAAATATTTAGAAAATTTTTCAGGACATCATCATTTTCCATTGGCTACAGGAAGATTCCCATTTGGTATCAACATTTATTTCTTTCTGATTGGAAGTTCACTTGCTAATTTTTAATAGGAATAAACTAAACAAGTAAGAAAGTCTAAGTTCGGGCAGAGCCGAACATTAAATACCCGGCGCACGTATTAAATATATGTTTTTCACCTTACCGAAAGCTACGGCTACATGGTAAGCCGGGGCGTATNGGGTATTAACGAAAAGATTTGTTTACGAATGACATAGCAGCACTGTGGCACTTATCCGAGCGGTCGAGTTTTCAGTTACTCTATCGCATAGACCCGAATTAATTTAACTGATGTCCTGGGATAAGCTGACTTTAAGGACCTACTGACATAGTCATGCAGCAATATATAATGTCACAATAAAAAGAGTGGTCAAAAATTCAAATTCCGATTCGCTTTAAAAACTATTTTATTACCTTCATTGTGTATCTATCTGTATCATTTTTGTTACCACTCTCATTAGTTCTGATTTGTGGGAATATAGGAGAGTAGTCCCACTGCCGGCGAACAGCAAAGAGTAGTCTTATAGTCCCATAATCTCCCTCTTACCAGCAGTGGAGATATCGAAAGCTGTGGTACTTCCGCACTCTACTCTACAGCAGAGTCCAGCGAAGCATCCCCATGACTGTCATAAAAATATTATTAAAAGCTTACCCAAGAAGGACTAGACAAAGTGCTTGGTTACATGGCTTTTAGTAGGGCTCTTCCTATTTAAAATTTACACTTCAATATGCATCTCAAATTGAAATAGAACATATCTCACATGAGGTACTTCCTACAATAGTCCTTCTATGAGCACTTCCGTGTGTAGCGAAAACAGAAGCCCTTCAATTTATGCCACCCCACACAAAAAAAGGAAGAGAAGAAGGAAGACTTTTTCAGCTCAGAAATGCCTTTAGAAGGGCTTTTGGTTACTGAAATCACCTTCTGGGCTCTTAACGCTATGAACACCTAGATAACGTGTGACCCCAATCGTAACCGCCGCCGTGAGGGAACTGCCTTAGCAGCGTTAAATCTGCCAAAGATAAGAGCTAAAGGGACGAAGCCACAAACATGTCACAACAGAGAACTCCGGGACACCGGACGCTGTGCAGACAGCTAATTAACTACATTCACACAAAGACTAGCACCACCTTCACCCACTCTCGTCCATTGAAGGTCATTATCTGAGTTCAACGATCGCCCATTGAAGAAAAAGAGCTTCAGCTGCCTCGAAAGACCCACGTCACTCAGACACAATTACTGTCTGGACACTCGCAATGTAGTCTGTTAAACTTCTACCTATCCAGGCTCGATCGTTGCGTTCCCAACGTAAGTCTGGCATGTGAAGGTTCCCCGCACGGTACTAACCACCTCTTCACATACTCCCTTAGGGCCGATTGTTCAATGTCTGGTTATCATTACCTCATTACCTGTGATCGATAAAGCAGTGTTTGTATTTAACCGGTGCCTCTGCCTCCGATTCGTGTTAACCGGACATTGAACAACCGGCCCTTAAACTCATTCAACTAACAACTCTCTCCTTCACTCCGATCAAGACGAGTCGGTTCTAAACCACGCTAAACAGCCGCAAAATCTATACATTGCGCAGAGAAAAACTACATACAAATATTTGTAAACCACAATATTTTTATGCTGATGTTTTATCGTATCCCAATATGCGTAAAGCAAACATTTTTCCAACTTTTTTCCAATGTGGATATACGACATTTTTCATCACCATTTTTCCCAAGGTCGAATAAATTTTGAATTCAAACTGATATCCAAGCTTTTCTCAAGTTTTCCAATTGAGGTACACTTGAAAATCAACATTGAACATTGGAATATGTTTTGGACCTCCAACCCAAATGTTTATTGGCATTAATCCGTGTGAATAAACAATACAATATGCATAAGTACATACAATATAGTATATGTACAAACAATTTTGGAAAAGGAAATGCGTGCATAAGGAATTTTCGACTACATATAAATATGTAGCTAAATCATGCTGGAGAAATTATATTCTTTCAAGTTCAATACAGCAACAATTATCAGCTGTCCTTGGACTTGCTCAGTTTACCGCTAATACTTATTATTATTATTATGGTATTATTATTTTCTTTTTCTGCTTTTATTATTCAAGACTAAATTCCAAAACACCCACGCGCACGTGATTGGGGCGTGCTAGCCATCTTTATACTTAATCAAAAAAAAAAAAAAGAAATGACAATTTGGATTTTACAATAACGAGAGAATCTTTTTCTTTATATCAGTGAAAGCAAATCAATTTTAATCGCCCTTAGGGTCAAATATATAAAAAAAAAATGATAAAAGACTTGCTTATAAATAAGTGCCTGAAAGGGTATTTCAACGCTGAGGATAGCGAAATCGAAGAGCAAAAACTTGATGCATAGAAATCATATCTTTGGTCAAAGATAATATAAATAATAAGTAATAAAACTCATTAAAATGGTGAAATGGAAATTTGAAGCCTGTAGAATAGCCTCTTATTGCTTATATGTATTATATTACTCTAACGAATTCCTAAATGCCAAAGGAATAAATAAAGAAATTCCATATAGTACATATGTAAACAATGCATAAATCATAAGAATCTAAGAAAAATTAAATAAATAAACATTATTTGTTTATAAACATACATACATATGTACGCGTACATTATAATAATATAGAAATTCTCCTAAACTCAAGAATTAACCAAAATCCCGAGACGACAATAAAACAACATTATCAAAGTCCCGCCAAACGCACACGCGTACAAACTATGTATGTACATTCACTTATGTATGCGCACGAACTCGATTACTAATTAGTCATGTTTTGATTCGAAATAATAATTATACCCTTATCTTAATTACCGACTGTCTGACTAGTACTTACTGTTTCTTCTCCTAGCACGCGACCACTTTCTCAATACACATCCTGATCGGCGAAATAATCACTAACCGTCGGCTCGCTTCGCTCACCGACCATCACAACCACCACCAACACCACGACGACACCATGAGCAGGTGAAATGTTGATAAGAAATCTCGCAAATTTTCCATAGACGCTCACAACTAGCACTCCAGACGGTATAAAAACCGAGCGAGAGCCAACAGCTAGCGATATTCGCATTTGGCCAACTGAACAGAGACGGAGGAAGCAGAAGCGTACAACGAAATAAATTTCTCTTGTATTATTTTCGTAAGCGCGGATCTTCCAAAAAAAAAAATTTACTGCTTTAAAAAAGTACGAACTTCACTCCATTGCAAACACAAAAGAAACTGCAAGCTCCACTGATTTTTACAAGGGATCAAAAAGAAAAGAAGTCATTGGTGAAATATCTACGTACATAGAGGTGAGTAAATAAAACTGTAAAGGAAATTATATTTGAAAACAAAAAAAAAAGCAGCTATGTAAATGGAAATGGATTTGTGAGGGCGTCGATCACGCCATAGAAGAGTGAGCGGAATTTACGCTACCGAAAAGAAAAAAAAGTCTAAGTTGCACCAACAACTAGCCCAAAAAGTGTGCGCAAAGCGTTAGAGGCGGGTCTTTTCTAACTCGTGCGTTCGTCATGGGTGCAAAGATTCGCTAGAAAGACAACAAAAAAGGTGTAGCGTTTGTTAGTTAGTATGTAGGTTTGTAGCTGTTGATATGTCTGCGAGCAGAGAGATATGCAAAAAAAAAATATCGATAAAATTATTAGCATACGAAAAATGCTGAAAGCGAATAGTCTGAAATTTTAGAATCAGATATAATTAGTTTATGTTTTGTTAAATTTTTGGCTACTTACTGTTTGAGTAGGTGTAGGTGGTAGCGAATACATGCGCTAAGCAAAGGAAAGACTCTCGGGCGAGTGCTGCGCACGTTTTTGCTTACTTTGAGTATCTAGCGCACGTTTTAGGGATTTGTCATTGCTGTTGTGTTTTTTTTCTTCTAAAAATATCGTTCTTTAATAAAAAAATAGCTTCCATTTTTACGTGAGTTTTTCTTAAAAATATTGCTGTTTAACAAAAAGATTGTAAGTTATAAATGCAAAGTGCGCAATTGCCATTCGATCTCCTTGTATTGCTTACTTTCGTTTAAGTTCCCCTTTGGTTTAATTCAAAGCATTGCTATACAAAAATTTTTAATTTCCTATCAATTTTTTCTAAAACTTTTTAGTTTTTTATTCACACAAATTTTAACAACCTCTCGAAAAATTTTACCAGGAACTAAAAATAGTCGTTGTTTCGATTTGTTTACTGTCTATATTTAATCGTTATTTCGATATTTCCACTTGTTGAACATAATTGATCGTTTTTTTTTGTGCATAGTAATTTTTTAAACAAAAATAATGTTTATCGATATATTTGGGTCAATTTTGGTTGTTACATTTGGAGCATAGAATGACGACAATTTTTGAAATGACAATTTTTGATCGAATAAATAAAAACCCAAAAAAAAAAAAACTATTTTTTATCGAAAACAACGAATATAAAAATTATTTTTGGTCTAAAAAATAAAAAATCCAGATATCGGTAATTTTTTATCGAAAAATAAAAGTCCAAGGTAACGATAACTTTTTATCGAAAAAATTATCTAAATATAACAATTATATTTGATCGAAAAAATAAGCATCGAAAATAACGGTATCGATAAATAAAAGTTCAAAATAACGATTATTTTTATAGAAACAATTATAATCTAAATGCATATAACAATTATTTTTATTCAACCAGTTAAAAATCATAAAACTTCCACTTAATAACGAAATTTTGAAAACGATTATTTTTATAGAATAAATTAAAATCTAAATGCATATAATAATTATTTTTATTCAACCAGTTAAAAATCATAAAACCTCCACTTAATAACGAGATTTGGAAATCCGATTTTTAAAATCACAAATTCAAGCGTCATTGACGAAAATTTAAATCCATTTGAAATGGTCAAAATTGGTGGCAAAATATGAATTCGGGCGCAAAAATTTCTTTTGATTAAAAAAAAAAAACAAAAAATCGTCACACTTCATGGAGATTTTTTGAAGTACAAAAAGCATGTTCGAATAGATAAAATAGTAAAAAAAAATTTTTAAATATGATCACAAAAGTTTTTAATCTAATTATATCGATAAACAGAAAGAACTAAAAAAATCCAAGCCATGAATGCTCAGTAGTTTTTTTTTTTGCAGAGCGAAGGTTATGTAATCTTTAGGTGGATATAAAATTGACTTCAAGTACATAATATTTGTTTTAAGTGCTTAAGGAATTAAAATATCATTAGGCACGCGCTATTGCGCATGTGTATATATATTAGGCTGGGTCGATNTATAATCTAAATGCATATAACAATTATTTTTATTCAACCAGTTAAAAATCATAAAACTTCCACTTAATAACGAAATTTTGAAAACGATTATTTTTATAGAATAAATTAAAATCTAAATGCATATAATAATTATTTTTATTCAACCAGTTAAAAATCATAAAACCTCCACTTAATAACGAGATTTGGAAATCCGATTTTTAAAATCACAAATTCAAGCGTCATTGACGAAAATTTAAATCCATTTGAAATGGTCAAAATTGGTGGCAAAATATGAATTCGGGCGCAAAAATTTCTTTTGATTAAAAAAAAAAAACAAAAAATCGTCACACTTCATGGAGATTTTTTGAAGTACAAAAAGCATGTTCGAATAGATAAAATAGTAAAAAAAAATTTTTAAATATGATCACAAAAGTTTTTAATCTAATTATATCGATAAACAGAAAGAACTAAAAAAATCCAAGCCATGAATGCTCAGTAGTTTTTTTTTTTTTTGGCAGAGCGAATGTTATGTAATCTTTAGGTGGATATCAAATTGACTTCATGTACATAATATTTGTTTTAAGTGCTTAAGGAATTAAAATATCATTGGGCACGCGCTATTACGCATGTGTATATGTATTAGGCTGGGTCGATTTTGTATGGGGGAAAATAAAAAGCATTTGAAAAAAAACAAAAAAAACACTAGAGATCCACTTAAGTTTTTAGATATAACTTTGGTAAATGTTACTCGATCGGTACGTAATAATTACTAAATTGAAGGCGAGACTTACCGTTACTGATTTATGATAAAAATATGATGAAAATCGTTCAGATTATAAACAAATTATTTAAAAAAAAAATTGAAAATTTTTTGTCATTTTTTTTATTTGCAATTTTTATATTGTATGCATAAGCATAAGTAAACCAATTAGTGTTTCTAGAAGTTGTGCCTGTTCAGTGTTTCCATACTTATTTGCATAAACAAAATTTTTCCACGATGATGGAAAATAATGGCTTTTCTATTAGAGTTACCGAAATTGTTGCTAAATTTGCAAAAAATCGCAAACTATAGCTAATATTAAAAAAAGATTCGAATATTTGGAACCAGCGACCTAAATGCACGCCAGCAATATTAAAGCTGTTCTTTGCATCTTTTGACTATAGGCCAATGCAATTATCAAGAGAACAATTCAAATTTTATTGAAAACAGATAACCTTGAGATTAACGATAACTTTATCTTTTGCGTAAACGGATTCATTATCTAATAATATGCACCAAACCTTTTTGCCGAACCCAAAATTTTTAACAAGAATTAGTCTTATTCGACTAGTGTGCTGTGGGTCACTAAAATAAAATACTAATATTTTGCAAGCTTGTTGTTGTGACTTCATGATACAATATATTTTCACTATTGCAATTCAATTTTCGAAAACTTTCCAAATTCTAACTAAGCACGCTTCGGCGAGATACATAGATGGTAGATTATTTTCACCTGACAGGTTTGATTAGATAATAATAACGAATAGATATAACTATTTTAGCTATTAAATTGACCTCAGGTATAAATATATATTGGGCACAAAACACCTATGATTTGGAATTTAAGAAAAAAAATATATATCTTTTCATTTCATTACAACTTTTAAGCTTTCATCACTCGGACATTTCATTAGAAACACACATTTTTTCTGCGTTAAGCAAAACGATCAAAATATGAAAGCTTGCGGTCAAGTTCAATGCTTCGCTCCAATTCAGTGTCAAAGCACACTATTTTCTACCCCACATTCATAGCTGCATTGTAGTTGTATGTAGAAAGTGCTGTCTAGCTTTCTCTCTTTGTTTATAGAAAAAATGCAGTTCATCGGCAAAGCTTTTCGGTGGACGAATATATTTCCGCCAAATTTTTGTTTACATTTGATGAAAGAGAATGAGTTACGCCAAATAATTGAAAGAAAATCAAGTCGGTCTTGCTAATTTGTATTATTAAATTATTTCTTAAGAAAGCAAATAAATGCATTTAAAATAAAAAAAAAAAAATACATGCAAAGGTAAATAGTATTAATTTCCCCTGAGCAGTATGGACATACATATGTAGGTAAATACGACTATCTAGTTCGTTTTATTACTCTCCCCTTTGACGAGAATTAAAGAGCAAAGGCTTGACCACTTAGCTAATAAAGATCACTAAATAATGCAACCAAACTTGTAAGGCATGTGCATATGTATGTATGTATGTTCACACTAAAAGCTGCAATTTCTATAGTTTACATCACAGGCAGAAAAAAGCTAAATTTCATTGTCAAAGTAGAATTTTTCAATTTTCCTCGCCACTAGTTTTCGAGTAACATTTGAGTGAGGAAGCTGCAGTGAATAAATAAGTGAAAAATAATGCAATTTCGTAAAATAGTAGCATTTATGTCATAAGCGTATCTATTCAATAAATTAATAAGTGTTTAGATAAAAATTCAACAAATTAAAGTAAAAATTTAGCAAATTTTTTAATGCCTCCAAACTAAAACTAGACAAACAAAATTTAGCATTTAGTCATGGGCAAATGCAAGCGCTAAAAATAAATGTTTCAAATATATGCTATGCCTTGATTTTGAAAGTGAAACAAAAGCACACAAAATTTTCCACATAAATTTTAGAATAGTGAGTGCACGAAAACAGCGAATTTGAGTGAAAATATACAAAAATAAATTTATAAAGAAAAAAAATTTTCCGCATATACAAATTTATATTTGTAAACAAAAGAGGCGTTTAAGGAACTACAAATGCAGTACCATTAAGAAATAAGAGTTGACAGAAAAAAAAAAACTAAAAATATTTAAATACAATTTTTTTTATCGGTTTTAGGGGGGCGGGGGGTTTAAAAAATATGGGCTTTTAATTTTTATATTTTTGCAACATGTTCTATGTAAGTACAAAAATATCTCATCCATGCTTTTAGGTTTTTTTTTTAACGAAAATATCAAAATGCCCTCTGCGTGCGCAATTCTTTCGATTGCCAATAATGAGCGAGTATATGCAACTGCACCTCTTCAAACATATTTAAATATTTACATGTGCTTGTATGTAAATAAATAAGCTGCTATCGAAAAGCTGCGGCGCCGTTTTGTCTGCAAGCCGCACGGCTGTTCGTCATTTGTGATCATCCATTCGCGAGCGTAAAACATACATCATACATACATACATACATATTTATGTAAATAGATTTTTTGAACACTTCGAGGGTAGCACCTTTCGTGCGTTTCTTTTAGCTTTTTCTTGACCTTTGATTTGTTAAAAATAAATATGTACCCGTTGGTAGTGAAAAGTGTTGCTATTTTTTTTTTTTGGACTTCCGCATTTTTAAAATGTCGCATTTCCGTTTCCATTTACGTCAACATGGCTGCACAATGCCTTCAAACTGTATGTATGTTTTGCAAATTAATATAAATGTAAATGTTATCTATTATTTAAATATTTAGTGCATTTTTGATACAAGACAAAATGATCGTACCAGCAACAGTAAATTTTCTAAAATCAAAATGGCGTCTCTTCATTTCTGCTCATCCTCTGGCCAAAGGTGTTATCGCTTATTCCATTGTTTGGCCGACGAGTAGCTTCATGCAGCAAACGCTTGAAGGCAGACAGCTGAGTAAGTAAATTTTTTTTTTTTTTGATTTTCTATTTTTCACAATTTTTACAGATTTAACAAAAAATTGTATTGTTACTAATTAATTGTGCTTTATTTCGCGCAGAGGACTACGATTGGATGCGCATTCTGCGTTTCGGACTTTTCGGTGGTCTTTATGTGGCGCCCACTTTATATGGATGGTTGCGTGTGGCCTCAACAATGTGGCCACAAACCAACTTACGCGTTGGAGCACTCAAGGTGGGTGGACTTAAATTTTATCGTCATTAATATTTTTTTTGCCTTAAAATAAAATTTGTTTTAGGGCAAAACGTTTTCTGTACAGCAGATATTTATTTCTATAAATTTACAACATTTTTTTGCAATTCACTTCATTCTTTACGATCTTAACTTTGCCACCTTTCAAACATAAAATCTTCTATAAAATTTTCATCTGATTAGATTAATAAATTTGTTAAAAAAAAAATATAAAAATTTTGCAATCAAATTAAATTGTTTCCCATGCTCACGCCATGCACGAAATAAAATTATGCTTAGTCAACTCAAAAAAACGCAGATTTATACATACATCGCGTACATATTTACCATCTGATAATTGAGGCGTCGAATTTCAGACAATATTAAATTTAATTGCTTTAATATTAAATGTATTACTCTGAGTCTCACGCGATTGCCTTCAGAGCAAGTAATTATTTCGCCTTTTTTTCTTTGAAGAGTTTAGCAAAGATTTCTGATAGAAAATCTGTACATGGGGGTGGTTCATGAGCTGATGCAAATGTCAGATTTAACACTAATTAAAATTTAAAAAAGTATATTTTAAAGAAAATGAACTGGCAATTTTTAATTAGACTATCAGGCCGTTTAGCAGAAGTGTTTTGAAAAGCTTAGAGCACATTTTATCCTTAGGTTGCAGTCCTCATTTTATCTATCTTTCCATCTAGTGAAAGTTTAATTTTATTCGTTTGGAAACATTGAGCCACTTTTTCTTCACGCAAAATAAATAATTGACCAAGGCATAGGAAGCTTGCTTTTGTTTCTTAATAAAAACTATGGATTATTCATTTATCAACTCCTCATTTAATACTCAAACAATCTCAAATTGCAGGCCATTGTCGAACAAATTTCCTACGCACCATTCGCCAGTACCAGCTTCTACTTCGGCATGTCGCTGCTGGAGGGCAAAGGTTTCGATGCTGCCGTTGCAGAGGTCAAAGACAAATTTCCAAAAACCGTAAAAGTATGTATCAAATACGCTT